AGAATAACTCAAAGTTCTCACCATACAAGTAATGCCTCCATACCTTCGATGCAAGAACTACTGCTGCTAACTCCAGGTCATGTGTAGGGTAATTCTGCTCATGTGGCTTAAGCTGCCTAGAAGCATACGCTACCACCTTATCATCTTGCATCAAAACACATCCAAGACCCTGATATGATGCATCTGTGTAGATCGCAAATCTCTCACCACTAACAGGTATGGTAAGAACCGGTGCTGAAGTTAATCGTGTCTTCAACCCCTCAAATGCCTGCTCACAATGGTAATCCCAAACAAACTTCACATCTTTCCGAGTCAAATAAGTTAAAGGTGCAGCAATCTTAGAGAAACCCTCAATGAAGCGCCTGTAGTATCATGTCAGTCCCAAAAAGCTACGAATCTCAGTGACAGTAGTAGGCTGTTTCCAACTCATCACAGCCTCCACCTTGGCAGAATCTACTGAAACTCCATCCTTAGAGATCACATGCCCCAAAAACTGAATCAGCTTCTGCCAAAAGTCACACTTCTTGAACTTAGCATAAAGCTGATGCTCACGTAGAGTCTGAACTGTAATGCTCAAGTGTCTCTCATGTTCCTCCTTAGTCTTGGAATATATCAGAATGTCATCAACAAATACCACAACAAACTGATCCAAGTAAGGTCGAAACACTCAGTTCATCAAATCCATAAAAGCTGCCGGAGCGTTAGTCAACCCAAAAGGTATGACTAAAAACTCATAGAGACCATAGCGAGTCCTGAAAGCAGTCTTAGGAGAATCCTCCTCCCTAATCCTCAACTGATGGTAACCAGTCCTCAAGTCAATCTTAGAGAACAACTGTGCCCCTCTGAGTTGATCAAACAAGTCATCAATGCGTGGCAATGGGTACTTATTCTTAACAATGACCTTATTCAGCACAAGATAGTCAACACATAAGCGGAGTGACCCATCATTCTTCTTAACAAATAGAACATGTGCTCCCCAAGGTGATGTGCTAAGTCGAATAAACCCCTGATCTTGCAACTCTTGAGTTTGCTTCTTCAACTCACTTAATTCAACTGGCGCCATTCTGTAGGGTGCCCTAGAGATAGGTGAAATACCGGGAATGAGGTCGATACAGAAATCCACTGCCCTCCTAGGAGGCAAACTCAGAATATCTTAAAACACATCTGCATACTTTGACACTGTAGGCAACTGCTTTATAGTCACGCATTGCTTAGCCACCTCAATGTGGGTGAGAAATCCCATAGTCATGGTGCCCTTGAACTCCCCACACTTATATCGAGAAGGTGACTGTCCCAGAATTGAGAATACAATAGTCCTCTCATGATAGTCCAACTGAGCATGATATCGAGCCAACCAATCCATACCCAGTATAGCATCAAAATCTCTCATACGCAATACTATCAAATCAATTGGATAATCCAACTCTCCAATTGTAATAGGACAAGCATGACATATTCTATCAAGTGTCGTCGCGCTCGCGAGTGGAGTTGCAATAGATAGGGCATTACTCATATGTCTAGGTTCTAATCCCAGTGTCTCCACAAACGATAATGCAATAAAAGAATACGAAGAGCCTGAATCAAATAATACTATAGCTATACTGCCATAAATAGAAAGTATACCTTCCACTGCTGGTGGTGCACAGTCCTGTCTCTCATCTGGAACAATTGCATTAAACCTTGCACCTCCGTGCTGTTGTGGTGCCTGACCTCTCTGCTGGTTATTCTTGTGAGGCTTGGGACAATTACGAGCCAAATGTCCTTACTCACTACAATTGTAGCAATGCCCGTTGAACTGATATGGCTGTGCATCATAAGGCGTGGTTGGTACTAAAGCTGTGGATTAATCACCTTCACCAACTTTCTGACGTTTCCCTGCTTACCAATCTTGTCTGTCTCTCTGCCAAGACTGACCCTGCCAGTTTCTCTGAGTCTGCTGCTACTGACCCCTCTGATTCTGTTGAGAGCTATTAGCCCCCTTATTTTTCTGTTCCGCTCTACGCTCCTTCTATTTCTGAAAGGCAATGCTATTATTCTCCTCTACCGCTATGGCACATTCCACCACTTTAGCATATGTGTCATAACGATGACCCACCACAAACTTCTTCACATGAGCGATCAACCCTTGCTCAAACTTTCTAACCTTGTGCAACTCATTCGCAACAATGTGAGAAGCGAATCGGGATAGCTTTGTAAACTTCCTCTTGTACTCACTGACTGACGTCTCATTATTCTGTTCCAACTATATGAACTCAGTTGCCTTCTTCTCCCTCACTGGTAATGGAAAGTATTTGTCGTTGAACTGAGTTTTAAAATCATCCCAGGTCATAGCTGTAATATCCACAACCATCCTGGTCTCTGACTGCCACCACTGGCGTGCCTCACCAAATAAAATAAAAGCACCAATCTTCCTTTTCTGCACCTCAGTGCAGTTCATCATCTCAAAATACTTTTCCATATCTTCAATCCACTTCTCGGCATCAAATGGATCGGTAGGTCCGACAAATTCAATAGCTCCCAATTTGCGTATATCTCTGATAAATCCAATCATAGGATTCGGCGCATAAGGTGCATCCTCCAATAGAACATTGTCATGGTCAACACCACCACGACCGGCACCTCCCTGACCTCTACCTCTAGCAGGTCGCCCTCTGCCTATTCCAGTTCCTGACATCCTATTTCCAATAAAGAATGTCAATGATAAGTTTCACAAATAACTTATACTTTAAATTGGAGTATGGTAAGAAAGCAAATAATTCGTATAAGTATATGCTCCTATTCTTACTATCATTTTATTTAGCCAGGTAATTCTTAACCTAGGCTCTGATACCAAACTGTCACACCCCAAATTTTAATCCAAGAACTACTTATTCTGCAAATAAAATTTGAAATATAACTTCCACCATTCTCAACATACATCCACCATAAATAGAATTACGATGAATCTCATCATAAAATTTATTAAGCTAAGAGTCTGACAAATTTATACAAATAATGAATAGAGGTGAAATTCCCTCTAACATGATAAAAATCCAATAACCACTCAGTCAACAAAACAATGTCTCACAAATCACCAATTTTATTACAATGATCATAATAAAGGAAAACCGAGTAAAAATAAATAAATATGCAACGAGCTAAAATCCGTCCCCGTCATGTGTCTCCATCACGTTCCTACTCTACGAGCACCTGAAATATGATAATGGGGTGAGCTCACAAGCTCAGCAAAAAATGTTAAACACAATCATCGTTCAGCAAGTTAACCTTACCTTATATTTCCATACATATAAGCAACTCAACAAATGCATTAATTAAATATGCAAAACCCAGTTAATTATAAACTCCATAAATAATCATCATTTACTTTTAATAAATCAACATATCTCATATGAGCCCCAGGCTCCCATCCAATTAAGTGGTGTGAATCGCATAGACCCTGACTACCGAAAACACACGTGTGGCTGGATTGTACGTCTACTCCCCAGATGATAATAAGGGCTCATTAGACCCATGGCCATAATAAAAGGGGAGTGCACTCCCAAATAGGCAGGTCCCTGACCATACCCAAATGTCATCATAGGGTCAGTCCCTGACTACCCCTCCGACTAATCCAAACTCATCCATTAAATATCAATTATGGTGAATTATGAAATGAATTAATAATTAATAATTTAAAATATTAATTAATGTATCAAATTATGCCTTTAATTAACCCACTATGAGAATCACAAATAAGATTATATGGAATTTCCCACTTAACTATCACCTAGTCCAGTAGCTTAGATTATCATCAACCATAACCGTCCTTAAACATAACCTACTGATCTAGTCATACAATTTCATTTATATATATATATATATATATATATATATATATATATATATATAATGATTAATCATGTGGTTTAACGGTCACAATCCAAAACACCTTACTCACTTTTTCCAACAAACATATCTAACAAATTAATATTATACTAACGTACAAACTCTATTGTTTAATGATACCCTGATATAACCCGTCATATATAATTATGTTTAACTAATTAATTGTCATTCTTTTTCTTTTTTTTATAACAACAGTGAATACAAGATACCCAACAACTCTATTACAACAATGACTCTAAATAAAAAAGAATTAACAAATGTATAATTATATATATGAACTCTCAAAACACTGTTTATAGCCATTTATATCCAAATCTTGATTCTACAACTAAAGGTGAAAGAAAATGAATCCTTAAAAAGTATCCCTTCACACTACCCATTATTGTAACCGAGTATAATAAAATGGGTACCTTCCTATTCACTTTAATGAATAATTTATTATAATAATGGAAACAATTTAGGTTTCATGCCTTAACAGGAACATAATACGTATCACATTAGAACTTTAAGGTAACTAAAATATACTAATTAATTAAATACAAAAGATCACGTTATACAAGTTCATGCAAAATCTAATCTTAAAATTATCTTAGATTAATTTAACACATTTAACCTAGCATATAATTTTTTTAAGTATTTTAATATAATTCCACATCGAGTTACGATTATATATAAAAATATAAAGCAAGATTAACTTGCCTGAAAACGCTAATCCCTTCTACTATACGAATCTCCGATCACCTACTCTCTTCTCAGAAACTGCAGACAGGAACCCTATTATCTTTATCTCATTTTCGATTTATAAAATAATGTAATATGATGCACAGAGCAAAATAAACTTATAAAGAGTAATAATAACGGATAGGTGAGATAATTTATAATTTTTTTAAAAAATTTCAAACTTTTTAAAAAGGTAACGTATTATCTCTAAAATTCCTTAAAAAGTCAACTAAATAAAAAAAATATACTCCTAACAAAAAAAAATACGGTATTACAGTTACAGTATTTAAAACATAAGAAATATCAATACGTTTTGTATTATAAAAAAATAAAAACATATTATTGAAAGTAATTTTTGTTTTCATTTTGTCTCTTTAGAGGGCTCAAATTTTGAGGCCTACAGGGGATGAAAAAAATAAAAAATAAAAATAAGTTAGGGCAAGTTTCAGACGACACAATCTGCTTCGACACTCCGCAGGGCGCAGCCTCCGCTATCTCCTCAGGTGACAAGGTATGTTCATCCTCTCTCTCTCTCTCTCTCTCTCTTCTCTCTTCTCTTTTCTCTCTTCTCTCTCCTCTCTCCTCTTGCATGAATCGATATTTTATATATGTTTCTTTCTTTCGTTCAACTCATCATTTGATTTGTTCTAACTTTGGTTCGTTTGATTCGGGCCTTTACCTTTGTTCCAATGGTGAAAAGTAGCTCGGGTTTTGTGTGTCACTGTGTGTGATGGCTATCAAAAGCTGAATGAATATATTATGGTTCTCTTAGTATTTTAATAAATGTGTGCCTTTCTACATGTGTCTTTCATGGCGATCGAGTCCATAATCTTTGGCAGGTACTTTTTTTTTTCCCTCTCCCCAAGTCCACTCCAATCTCTCAACAGCAGCAACCATACCCCTTTTCCTCATAATTTTTTGCGTTTTCACAATCAATCCCGCGAAAATTAAGGATCCCTTCTAGTGGGTTGAGATAATAATTAACTTTTTCGATCTCTAAATTATGCTCATACTTAAAAGTGCCAAATTAAGGGTTTTTTTATTTTTATTTTATTTTATATGAAGATACATACCACCATTATTGATGTTATTTGAAGTTGGCTCAGCTAGAATTTCAGTTAATAATACTGTCAAAGCACTGCCAACAGAATGTACAAACACATGGAAATCAAGAGCAGGCTTAAACAAAACAAAAGTTAATGGTTTTTTCTATTAATTTGCACAGGTCTTCTGTAGCAATGATCAATCAATCACTGCGGCTAACTGGCTTCCAAAAAACACACACACAAAGTGCAGTGTAGTTAATATAAAGAGTGAGAGAGAAAACTATATATGATAGTGGATGACACATATAACCTAAAAGTCCCACTACTTCTTCAGTACTACAAGTTCAGCCTCCTATATATATATATATATATATATATATAGTCACCTCATCACCACATATTTTTGTCATATGTAATCATCAAATTTTAGTAGCTATATAAACAATGAATGTAAAAGAAGCTGCAGTTTTCTGGACTCTTTCATTTTTTATTTTGTGCCTGTGAAAATTTCGCACTCTTTAATTGATAAATTTATTGTTATTAGTTAGCTCTCTTATGCACACTGCACATGTGCACAATTTGCGCACAATTATTTATTGGCGGTGATAAAAATTTGTAGTTATTAGTTAACTGTCTTAAGCACACTGCACAAACGCACAATTATTTATTGGTGGTGATAGATTTATACTTATTAATTAGTTGTCTTACGCACACTGTACAGGCGCACAATTATTTGTTGGTGCTGAATGGTGATAAATTTATAGTTATTAGTTAGTTGTCTTATGCACAATGCACATGGGCACAATTATATTAGCTATAGAATTTTAAAACATCATGTTAAAATTTTGCACTATTATAATTCTTTTTTGCGCGTGTGAAACTCAAGGGCCTCACATTTGAAAGTTGGCCTCTCAAAATATTTGAAATCTCAGGGCCGGCCCTGGCCACAACAACTGGTATCAAATCCGGTTAATTGTGCAGAGCTACTCCAACAGATGCAATGGCAAATATTATTACAACTTGTTGCAGTTTGACTGTTTGAGTTACTTTAGAGTACAAGATTAACATTTGAGGTTAGACGGGATTCTAATCTTTCTCCTCTCCCCCCCCCCCCCCCCCCCCCCCCCCCTCCCCGTGTTTTTTTGTTTCCTCTCAATTTCTCTCCTGCCAATCAGGTTCTTAGTTTCAACCCTCCAACGTTGTTTAATTCTTCCACCGCCATACGACATTACTCTCTCTATTTTCAACTCCAATTCCGAACCCAAACACAATAAATCGCCCCAAATGTTCACCCTCAAAATCCACTCTGTCGACACCCCTCACCCTATATCCTCCTCCACCTCCACCGCCGCCGCCACCACCACCCCTGCTGCACCAAGCCCAAACCCTAATAACTATAACATAGTCGAACTCAATGGCATAATCCACCTCTTCCGCAACCGCTCCCCATCCGCCACCTCCCTCACAAAGCCTTCTGCCCGCACCACCCTCCTCTTCGTTGCAGCTGTCCCCAACTACCTCTCGCCGGAGGACTTCCTCCTCTTCTGTGGGTCCCACCTCGACAATTTCTCCGAACTCCTCTTCATCAGGTACCCCAAAATCCACACACTCTTTATTCACAACCCTTTTGATTTTTCAAATGCTGATGTATATATATATATGTATATGTGTTTTTATTGTATTTAGGAATGATGGCATGGAGGATCGGTACAGTGTCTTAATCAAGCTCGTTAATCAGTTGACAGCTGATGGGTTTTACTGTAATTTCAATGGGAAGCGATTCAAGCCCTCTGAGGTGCCTTAATTTATCAATTTAAGGTTTTGATCTCATATTTTCGTTTGAAATTTTTAATTTTATAAGTATATATGTAATTGATTTTTCAGGCTGAGGTTTGTCATATATTTTTTACTCACTCTGTGGAGTACACTGAGTTCGGAGAGATTGCCAGTACACCTCCACCCGGATTCACTGAATTGCCGACCTGTCCAGTTTGTTTGGGTCAGTTACTCACAAATTTGCTTCTATATGTATGTATGTATGTATGTATAAGTTCATAATATCCTAGATTGTTCATGTGGAATTATTTTGTATGCTAGGAATAAGAATGTTTTGAGTTGGGGTTGTATTATAATTTTTTTCAAATTTATGTTTTAAAATGTTAGAGAGATTGGACCAGGACACAAGTGGAATACAGAGTACTCTTTGTGACCATTCATTTCATTGTTCTTGCATTTCGAAATGGACCTATTTGTCTTGCCAGGTAAGTTCATTCAATATCTTTCCTTTTGAGTATGTTTGTTTCTATTGGTTGTTTTAAAGATTTTAGTGGTTTCATGTAGTTTTAGTGACAGTAAACAAGAGGGCCTTCTGCTGTTAGAAAGTCTTTTGTTAATTTATATGTTGTTAACCTCGTGGTTTGGTTGATATATTTTGAAAACATAAACTTCCCCACCCCCACCTCCATCCCTACAAAATAATAATAATAGTAAGACAGAGGCGGTCTTGCACCTATAGCATCCTTGACACTTACTGTAAAATTCATCTCCTGAAGCATGCATCCCTAACAAGGTAGTCACGGACTCCAACTCCCAATTCTGGAAAGCTATCTGAGTCCCTGCACTACACCCCATTTGGATATGACATGCACTATAGTTCTGATGCATCCTTAGCCACCGAGATATAGAAAAAGCTAGAAGCCTTTCCTTCAAGGCAACTTGTCCACCCCACAGAAATGCCAGAATCTGACCCTGGTCCCATTCTTCATCACAAAACTTTGCAGTTCCTGTTGGATTTGATTACCTATCAAAAATTAATGTCTCCAACCCCAGGTAATGGGGTTCCAGGCTTTGTGGAGTTGGGTGATAGTTGAATTACTTATTGGAATGCTCAGCTAGTTTAATTGGTTAAGGTTATTAGTGTAGAAAACAATTTCTTTTTTTGCGCTCTTGTGTACATCATAGCATTGTGATGCATATTCCAAAATCTCTGTTTCTTCTAAAAAGGGAAAAAAAATGACGGGCCAGAAGTCCAATTAATAAAGTAATATTTGCCAGAGGTCCTTTTTCAGCTAGAATGCAAATTATCTCATTTACATCTTTCATCATACAATTGAAGAAGGTGAAAGAAAAGCTTCAAGATTTTGTGCAGCAGAATTCTCCTGTTACAGTTGAGCATATTTATTTCACCTTTTACCTCCAATGTAAAACGAGAAGTAGCTTTTATTTTTTTTCAAAATAATTATGCCTTAATATATGCAGTATGCAGCCAGTTTGTTACAGATATCAGTATACTTAGAAGTGGATGATATATTTATTTATCCATTCTTTTTTACTCTTGGAAATGACACGTCCTTTAATATGCTAATATTAAAGGATGCTATGTGGCCATATTGACTAAATGTTTATGATCCATGACATTCACTGTTTACCTCCTTGTATCGATTGTTTTTTTTTTTGTGCCATCCTAAAAAGATGCTAATTAATGTTTCTGCAGTCAAATTAGTTGTATTTTGACAGCTTATGGAAGAAGGTTTCAATGATGATTTTTTTATGTTACCAGGTCTGTCGGCTGTGTCAACAGCAAGACGAGAAACCAACCTGTGTTGCATGTGGTGCATTAGAGAATCTCTGGGTTTGTGTTATCTGCAGTTTTGTTGGATGTGGAAGGTAACATATCAAGTGTTATTCTTGTTCTGCTTTCTTGTTTTTTGCCCAAGAACTCGTATAAATTATATTTATTGTTTGTTTGATCAGCTATACTCTTTTCTGAATTCAATCTGTAACTATTGAAACTTTTTTTATTTATATTTTTTTTTTTTTAGATATGAAGAAAGACATGCTATTAAGCACTGGAAGGATACTCAGCATTGCTATTTTCTTAAGTTAGAAACGCAGCAGGTTTGGGACTATGTTGGTGACACTTATGTTCACCGACTAAATCAATCAAAAACTGATGGCAAGTCAACAATGAAAAATTCTCACTGGATGTCAATTGATGGACATTGTGGTACGTGTGACTATGGCGAGGATTCTGGAATTAGTGGGGCCCTTTTCAGCAGCAAAGTGGAAGGGGTATTTTTTTTTTCTTCATCTACTTTACGTATTGATAGAGATGTTGCTGTCCTTGTTGAAAGCAGCAGATAAAAAAAACTAACATACTGGAATTGGTAACTACAAGCCTCTTGATTGGTTGGAGCTAGGAAGGAAAACACTTCAACATGAAGTTTAACTGCATTTTTTTTTTTTTTGTTTTTTTGATACGTAACATGAAGTTTAACTACATTCTACTACGTTAATCTACACTCTAGTACTTTTGCAACTTTTTTGCATTTCAGCAATTTTAAGACTAATTGAACTCCACAAGGTCCACTTTAGGTGTAACAAATTTCGTTCTCACCACAAAACCTATATATATATATATATTTGAAATGTACCACAAAACCTATATTGTTAAGTATATGATTGTTTGTTTTCCATATGGATGATGTGATTATTGTTCTATATACTTGACAATAGATTGTGGACGAGTACAACCATCTTCTTGCGACCCAGCTGGAGATTCAAAGACAAGTATGTACATCCTTGACTCATACTCTCATCCCCACCCTCAGGTTGTTGGTTTCGGATTGGTTTTCCCTCGTATGGTTTTTGTTAGCAAATGGAAACATGCATCTGCAGGCACTGTTAGAGTTCATACTTACATTTAAATAGCTATGCTTGTTTTATTAAGAGATTGTTGTGGTGGTATGATTTTTGTTAGCAAATGGAAACATGTATCTGCAGGCACTGCTAGAGTTCGTGCTTACATTTAAATAGCTTAACTTATTTTACTAAGAGATTGTTTAGGTGGCATTTGGGATATATAGAGTCCACTATTTGGAAGTCCCATTTAGTAGATTTTGTAGAATGGGTAGTCTCATCTTATTTCTTTCACATTTTCACCAGTATTTTTTTTCAGCACTACGAACTACTACTTGCAGAGGCAAAAAGTAGAAGGGAAAGTTCCACATCCGAAGCAGTGGAGAAGGCTGTGGCTTCAAAGATGCAGGATATTCAATATGAACAGGAAAAATTCATTGAGGGACGTAAAATTGCAGAGGAGGTAAGTTTTCTTTTTACTCAATAGTCTGAGCATTTAGAGTCTGCACAATGTATCAAAGAGTCTATCTTATTTATATAGTCAGGCACAAGTCCTAACCCTTAATCTCGCGTTTCTTAGACAAATAAAGATCTTGTGAAAAACCGAGAAGTCTTGCTGAAAAAGGTCAAGGAAATTGAGGAGAGGTACATTGTCTTCCCTCCAGTTTTGCATACATAATTACATATTAATGTTTTCTAATCATGATACTAATTAGTAGGTTTATAAAATTAAAATGTTGTCTGTGTTTGCAGACAACTGTTTGGTACTTGCTAATGATTTAGTTTGATGTCGATTTATATTTTCAAGTGGGAAATTTCATCCATATTAATCTTTATTTAACTTAATAATATGCTGTCAAATGATGAATTCATCATCTTTTTTGTATTCCTCTTTATCTTGAAGTAACAAGGCAATTGCTAAGAAAACACCCAATAATGTTGTGACGATGGTATATGTGAAGAGAGCTAATATGTGCTGCTAATCACGTGAGTATGAATGAGATGTGCCAATTTTGGACACTATTTTAATAATTCGTGTACTTTCAGGGAAGTTTCATCACTGAGGTCCAGAGATGAGAAGATAGTGGATCTGGAAGAACAGGTATTGGTGGTGGTGTTTCCTTATTTCAACATTGATCTGCTTGTATTTAATTATCTGCTTGTATTTAATTATTACATTGCTTGGCTTCATTGTAATTATTAAAATTGGTCACAGATCAGAGACTTAAAAGTCTATGTTGAAGCCCAAAGGACACTGGCCAACATGACCGATTCAGATGACATCAAAGGGGGAACCCTTTTACCAGTACAATCTAACCAAGCAACCCCCGCCAATTCCAGAAGGCGCACCAAGTTGAGTCGAAGAAGGAACTAATAGATAATATGTGCATTTGCCGAGTGGTTTTCTTCTACCGAGCGTAAACAATCATCTATCATCTTGTTTCCTGATCTTTTTGTTTTTTTTGGATATATATCATTTCCTTCTTTTATGTGTGATGTCTTAACAAAGTTTGCATCATTTCAGATTTCTACCGAACATTCTTGTATCGAACTGTTTGTTTACAGTCGGCACATATTGGCCTAGGCGATTATATCTTGTAGTCTACCTCACACGAGAGACTAATAATTAATCAAAACAGAAAATTAAAAAGGAAAGACATCTCTACCGGAAGGTTGAAGGGCAAGAAATATAAACCTGACCTTGCCGCCACCACCTTCAATTGTACCCAAAAAAAAAAAAAAAAAAAAAAAAAAGAATTTTTCTTACAAGCAACTATAATTAGATCGAACAAACACAATCAATCAATACATGAGAGACTAATAATAATCAAAATAATTAAAAAGGAAAGCCATCTCTACCGGAAGGTTGAAGGGCAAGAAACATAAACCTGACCTTGCCGCCACCACCTCCTTCAATTGGACAAAAAGAAATTCTTCTAACAAGCAACTATAATTAGATCGAACTAACACAAACAATCAATCTATTACAAGAGAAGATATCATCAGCTAAGATTAATGATTTATAACTAATAAAGAACAAAATAATTAAAAAATATCCTTTTTAACACACACACAGGCAGACACACAGACCAGGGCCTTTAGCCCAAGCTAATTAATCATTTCCCTCCAAGTTCCTTCAAAGTCAAAACAGAACTTTGCATTCCCTTCACCAATGCCTCTAGTAAATTTACATCATGGATCCAAACTTGTCGTGGACATTCTAAATGAGAGTATTAGCACCATATTTTTGATTTGAACTGATTTGATGCTGCTAACGATTCCCCCTCGAACTAACTCTACTTTGCTGGGTTCAATTGTCCTACCATACCACCTAAATCTTACAGATTCCCCTTCAAAAATAACTCAGGGTGGGGCCAGGATGCAAAACCACAGGAAAGAGACATGCACTCGGATTGCAAGTAAACAGGGCGCATGCACAAGAGACCATCATATCATCTTTGGGGTTGATCAGAACTGGCTGGACCAGAAATGGTGCTAGGCCCAGCACCATTTTCAACTGGAGGGGAGGTGCCCCATTTCCCTTCTGATTCTAGTGGCTCAACTATATGAACTCCACCGTCGGTAAGTCCCAATGCAAACTGATGGGGTTCTGATGGATGTGCCGCGATGACAAGGGGGTAAACTCTCAAGCTGTCAAATTATTTTGTCAAATACTTGTGAAAAGAAAGGTAAAAGAAAAGGGACCGATATTTTCACCTTTATAATTGCAGAAATACTCACCCCGGATTAGTAGGTAGATAAGAAGTAGGATTAATTCGGCATCTCAATCGTAGCGTTGAAGCAGTGAGAATACCGACACTTCCATCTTCAAAACTGACGTATATCGACTGGCTATCACAGGAGTATGTAGCATGTGTGATTGGACCACTAGCTTCTCGTGGAACCCACTGTTTAAGAAACATAAATTGAAATAAAACCATCAGAAGCGGGTACCATAAAGATTTTCTGATTTATTGGATCATCAGATATCCAACAAGAAAATCCAAGTGATAGTTCAGGAGAAAGTAAAGAATCATATGACAATCGAGTATTGAAGGTGTTTAATCTGAATATCTAATGGAAAAGAAAATAAAGATATGTGCCGCACCTGCTTAAGGCATTCCAGTTTAGGTGCTTCATATATGGCTATCTGAGTTTCATGGACAACTAGTAAATGTGTCTGATCTTGGTGAAATTGTACACGAGTATCTGCAAGAGGAACCGAAGCTCGCCCAGCTGGTATCTGCAAGTGTTTACTTGTTTGCTTCTCCCATCCATCTGTGCTCCAAACACACAGCTGTAGAATAAACAGGCATCACTATCTGGAAAAGTCCAACATACAATGTTTTGCCAAATTACATAATATTTGGTTTCTTATAGGAATACGTACGAAGTAACTGAAACACAGATGAAGCCTGAAGGAAGCAGTACAAGTATTTATTTTATTAGTGATATTAATTCTGAAGTGTCATCCCCCGACAAAGGATGCCCTTGCAGGCTCCAATCAGGTGGCCTCAACATGTCTCGTGTATAAAAAAACTAAGAACTACTCCCTCCGTCCCTTATTAGTAGTCCATTTTTCTCTTTTTACATGTCATAAATTAGTTGTCCTCTTTGAAAAGTCAAAGCATCTTTTCTTTATATTTCCATCATGGTCCTTTATCTTTTTAAAAAATTTCAAACTTTGTAACTATATATATTTAAATTAAAAAGGACAATTTGGTAATTTTAAAAGGGGACAATGCATTAATTGCATGTCCCCTTAAAAAGTTATAAAACCAAAAATGGACAACTAATAAAGGACGGAGGTAGTAAATGACAAGTACAAGGGTTCGAGTATTTCAGACTATTAGCCATCACTTGATAGTTGTTAATGTGTGTCCTTTTGGCTTCTCCATTATAGGTTGTTCTAGTTTCTGATCTGTAGAAGCCAAGAAATAATAAATAATCGCATTATCTCCAGAATCTAACCTGCGAATCAGCACCCGAAGATACAAGCACATTTGCAACATTAGAGAATGCGAGGCCTGTTATTCTTTTCTGATGGTCTCTAAGCTTGGTCCTTTATCTTTTTAAAAAATTTCAAACTTTGTAACTATATATATTTAAATTAAAAAGGACAATTTGGTAATTTTAAAAGGGGACAACGCATTAATTGCATGTCCCCTTAAAAAGTTATAAACCAAAAATGGACAACTAATAAAGGACGGAGGTAGTAAATGACAAGTACAAGGGTTCGAGTATTTCAGACTATTAGCCATCACTTGATAGTTGTTAATGTGTGTCCTTTTGGCTTCTCCATTATAGGTTGTTCTAGTTTCTGATCTGTAGAAGCCAAGAAATAATAAATAATCGCATTATCTCCAGAATCTAACCTGAGAATCAGCACCCGAAGATACAAGCACATTTGCAACATTAGAGAATGCGAGGCCTGTTATTCTTTTCTGATGGCCTCTAAGCTTGGTTTTAACCTGCACCAAGGGAACATGCAGAATTGTTTCAGTATATCCATCAGCAAAATCAACTCACTTTAGGCTTCAGTTTAAAATGAGGACAACCTCATCAACCCGGACATTATATATTTGGATAGAAGAATCTTCCATGCCTATGGCAATGATATTATTGTCTTGAGGATGGAATGCCAGAAATGTTGCTGCAGGCGGAGGGGGCATGAATGTTGTCATCGTCTGCATGACAATAAATATAACATGAAAAAAAGAAAAGAAAAAAATATTACAGGAAACATAATGAAAAAAAGAAAAGAAAAAAATATTACAGGAAACATAATGGAAGAAAAATGAAATAATTTTTGTCAACCCTTAATATCATGCTAACAATAGCTAGGATTTCCAGAAGATGTCATTCGTTTGATGAGAAATAAAAAGGAATATCAACATTTTGAGTATAGCTGAAGCAGCTACTTTTGAAGTAACAGAAAGAAAAACAAAGACTAGAGTGGGAGAATCATCAAAACGGTGCATGAAACTTATATCTCTAGATCCAAAGTGATAAAAGAAAGAAGATACTAATACTTTGTCTTCCCACTAATTTACTCTTCATTCACTTGAAAATAGCTGCGACTTTTAACCACCATGCAGACCCAAAACAAGTAATAATAGCTGGGGGGGAGAAGAAAGTATAAAAATACCATAGCTTGGTTATAATTTCATAATTTAATTTTGAAAAACTTTACATCCCAAATAGATAAAAATTTGTATAATTAGATTTTCAAACACAACAGATTCTAGATGGTAAACATACTCGGGAAGAATCAGTTTTGAAAAAAATTCAATAATCACAAATAATCCATATCATACCTTCCCAATACTTGGCTATATATAAATCAACCATGTACACTGTACATGAGCGAGGACAGAAGAGAGGTGGTGTAAAAATCATTTTACCTTGAATGTCATCATATTAAATAAGGAAATTTTCCCCCCTGAAGCAGACATAACATAAGAATCGTTCTTTGAAAGTGCAAAGCATGCAATAGGATCCTCAGGGATTGTATCACTAATGTCATTGGTCATCAATAGTCCACTTGAGGGCTGCCACAGTTGTGGTACAACACTAGCAGTTGCCTGCAATAGGCATATTGTATAAGCAGAAAAATTATGGATATTAATGAAACAAAATTACAATGCAACTTTCTAAGCGCAGATGACTTGTTACCTTCCCAGTTGAGCTTCGATCATTCCTTTGCCATTTCCAGAGCTTGTGAACAGCATTGGCTGCTAGTGCCAGTATGGCAAATCCAGAATTTGTATACATCAACCTAGAAACCTGGAACGTCGACGAAATGGACAGAACCATTAAAAAAAGAAAGAAAAATAAAGTAAATACCAAGCACACTAAGAGCATCTAACTCGAGCTATGAAAGAGAAACAAAAATCCCAACAAAATCTTAAATTCTTAGATCCTAATTGTATACAACAGAAATTGAACAGAAATTATATTGCAAATTTGCGAGTAGGTCAAAAGATTAAGTGCAATAAAGCAACTCTCAATCAACTATTTAGAGCCTTTCCCAGTCTATAGATCATTCATTATATGCACATGCAGTCTGATGTGTTTTCCTAATTTGATCAAAACCATTCCGGTCTCTACTGATGTGCGGACACTACTGGCACCAGAGGTGGGTATTAGCACGTGTCCAATTTATCCTGATTAATTAAAATTTCATATTTTCAGAAACCTGGATGAAAGTTATTAAGAAGAAAATTAATTAATTACTGATAGTCAAGTAATATCAATGAACCAAAAAAGTTAAAACTGTGTATTACTGGGGGGGGGGGGGGGGGGAGAACGAACGAACAAGAAAGTAAAAGACGAAAAAACACAGCACGCGTGCATAACTTTAAGAACTGATAATTCAAAAGTTTCTTATACGCTTGAATAGATTGGATCCATACCCTCATTGCCGTTAAATTGTCTGGGAGCCTTAGGGAGCGGCATTGTGATGGTTCGTTGATTTCTGTCAGTTTCCAGATCCTAGATTTATCTACTGCTTCATCAGCAATTCTGGGTTTTACATCTGCCAAACTTCGGTTATCCCCATTCTACAGGAACACAAAAGGAAAAAGTTAGAATTATTAAATGCACAAAGCATATCTACATCTAAAGAGTGCATAGATATCTGTGTCACATGAAACAACATGCATGTATTACATTAACAACATCAATACACATCAACAAATAAAGATGCTCCTTTTTTAATCCAGATTCCCCATGATGGAGAGAGTAATACTTACCATTGCAACCATGGATGACATTGGAGCAGCTCGATCAACGATGCTTGATCCAACAGTTGCATTAGGAGCACCAAACGCGCTTATTGTGGGAGCCTGTACATGTATGAAGCAACTCTGTGAAACTCTCTAGAAGGATTTACAGAAACTCTGGCAGAACCAAACGTGTCCAATTACCCATTTACATAAAATAAATTTTGGGGATTTGCACAAAAATTGCTAAGCCTAAAAATCCCATTTACCTTCACCACAGCTGCAGAGGCAAGTCTAGAAGGATCAAATGAGCGATTTTCCACAGTTCGTAGTAGCCTAATGCCATCTGCATTTGCTAGAATTTTAACAGCACTCTCATTTGTAGAAACAGCCAACAATATACCTTCCTTGTTAAATCGGATACAGGGAGAATCCTGGTTAAATAATTAAAAACCATGATACTTGGTTAAGAGGGATTTTTTTAAAAAAGATATATATTGAATGACACATATCTGATATTTACCGTTAGTCCACCCTCTGCATCAGTGGTTGTCAATAAGTTAACACTGTCCATGTCCCAAAATTTGACCTTGAACTCATCACCAGCAGCCAAGAATCGATTCTTCGTGGTATCAAATTGCACAACTCCAGCAGATCGCTTCCCAAGACCATGATATGTACGCTTGACAGCTCCCTCGCTTTCATTCCATTCCACAATGAATGAATCTCCTTCTTTATTGGTCCCACATGAGAACAACCTATGAGTTGCCCATCATATCATGAAACAGATGTTTTAGTTAAAGACATTATAAAAAGCCAACCTCCCATCCTGAAAAAAAGAAGGAAAAGGAACAGCTAGCAGTGGTAAAAAAAAAATATTAATTTTAAACCTTGTCCCATCGGCACTGTATGCCATTCTGGTGGATGAATGGCCCGGGGCATCATAGTCAACCCTTGAACCCATGCTATCATACAACCATGCCTTTATTTTACCGTCCGTTGCCGTTGAGAAAATAAACTTGAGGAAAAAGGCAAAAAATCAAAAAAACAAGAAGTCATAACAGCCATAGAATAAATTTATGTGAGAAGTCAATATACCAATGGATAAATGAATTGTATTAAATTACCAGAAAGAAAAGATTTGCACATTTTAAGTAGAAGAACGAAAGATAGCACCTTTAATGAGACAGAGACATTTGCAGCAGCAAATCTTATCATCTTCGTTTGTTTGTTTGTTTGTGGGTTTGGTGTGTGTGTGTGTTTGGTCAAGTCTGTGTTCTTATCATGCAAATTCAAAAGTCGTGAATTCAAAAGATCACAGTCAAAAGAAAATCCTACAAGCCGTCCAATGATGTGTTAAACCACTTGTAATTTAATACTCGTGTCAATATAGAATCCTGAAATTTCCAAGTGAAATTCAGGGCCTCCATACGGACAACAAATAGAACCTAGACTGCAAAAATTAAAACTCTACAACAAGAACCAGGGATGTGAAATTTTCTCCATTTCATAGTCCCATTGGGTTTTTAGCAGGTTTGGTCAACTGAATAGTTAGGAATGCAATCAGTTTAGCCACTTGTATCCAATGAAGATATTAATAATAAAATAAAATAAACTTGTTTCTGAAGGACGTCCTTGAAACAAAGAGATACTATAGTTTTTCCATATTTCTAACATAATAACGGCAGTCTTCTATTGGCTAGACCCTAAATAAGGTCATGTATAGGCTTAATCGTGATTATAATCCACTTATAAATATGTATTGTAGTTTGGCACGTTCACTATGTGATCAAGCAGGCAAAGTCCCAACAACCTACCCAGAAAACAAGTGTGGGTTTTTCTAGCTTTAATGAACCATATTCGTTCTTATTTAATTCTAGTTAAATGAAAAAACGACCACATTTGTGAATTTTCAAATATTTTATGCTCTAGATGTGTGTAAATGAATTTTAAATGTTTAAAGTATAATTTCTCATTTAACTTAAAAGATGATAATAATATAAGCAAATTGGCATATTACAGAATTCAGTGCATCTGAATGTGCCCTTTTGGCCATATAACACTAAAATTTATCTTGGTAGCATATCAGAATTCAGAAACCAATCCCATTTTATTGACCAAGCCTCAAAAAATAACATGAGAAATGCTACTGTTGAAATTGAAGAGAAATATTAAATGAAGAATACAAAGCTATAAAGTTGTTCAGCCACTAGGGCTTACATCCACGACACACAAATCCCAAATGGCTACATCTCTTTCATTACATTATCTCTCGATTTTGTTTACAATAACCACCTATATTTATAGGGCGAATTGGGAAAGACTTGTAATAAAGGAATTACACAGAAAGTTAAATATAAATATGGAAACAGCTTGTTGCCCAAGTATAACAACATTAACATTCTGTCAAAGAGTGATTTAATAAGGGCTTAAATCACTCCAATAATTTATTCTCCAACAGCTACCAATCAAACTTTTTGCAAAATCCCATCCGTATGGTACTATTTTATGAATCTTGTGAATTTGTGATATCAAGACCCTTCTTAATCACAGGTTCTATTAATAAGAAAATCATCAAGGTGGTGAAACATGTTTACATAAAATAAATTACGGACTAGAGTAATACCGCCAGTCCATTGGCCCAGATGGTATAACCTCTCCTCCCAAGAGGAGGTGAGAGTTTGAGCACCATTGTGGAGGGTTGTTTGAGGGTGTGTCTGTGTGAGAGAGAGAGAGTATTTACCTAACAAAATAATTATGAAGAGTGATGCATTAATATGCAAATCAATAAATATTTTGTAATTTGTAAATACCAAGATGACTTCTATACCTTTGGCGTATAGGAAAATGTCCTTAAATTAATATGTTATTCTGTCTTTTTGGGATTGATTGAGTGCTACTGCAATCAGTAGAGAAGTTGCTGGTCAGGCAGCTTGGCAAGCGGTTCCTTTTTGCCTATATAGTGTCAATGAAGGGAGAAAATAGGTTTACATTTAAAGAAGTATTGTAATAATAAGTTTAAGAACTCATGCTGACACTTTACATTTGTATTACAAAAAATTTCACGATGCTTTACACTAGTAGATTTTACAAGTGATTTGAATTGTACAAAAGGAGTTGAAGTTTATTATTACTCTTGTATACTCCAAGTGTACATTGGTGGTGTCCCTTGAGAACTTTTATCTACAAATTTTTATTTCTTAAAAAAAATTTTGATGGCACTATCTGAGATCCAATTCTTCTTAGGATTAGATTTTAATATCACCATCTGAGATCCAATTGTTCATATAATTGGATTTTAATGTAACATCTAAATATTTACTTTTCCTTGTGTAAAAATAGCAAGTTGGAGCCAAAAAATGATGGCAGTGGAGGTGGTGGTGGGGATGAATTAGCAAGGGATGATGGGAGAGAGGTTTTAATACTGATATTGTCATGGTGGAGGCACGACCAATGATATGATGATGGTGATTGTTATGACATTGGTGTAATTTTATTGAGGTGCCGGTGCAGTGACAAGGAGGTGGTGACCGTGGAGTGTTTTTTTTTTTTTTTTTTTTGATAAGTAAAAATGTATTAGAAAGCGTTCAAAAGGGGAACCGTGGAGTATTGTTCATCACAACCATGTGACAGTAGTAGCATGTGACAATAATGGTGGCAATAGTGCCTGTCATGGAGCAATTATAGAGTTTCCGGTGCCATATTATATGAAAACGAAATGAGTAGATATGATGGTTGCAGCAACAAGTGTGACAGCAAGATGGAGGTGTAGTGGAAGCAACATTATTGATGGCAACAGCAGTCATAGTAGCAATAATGCTCTTAGTTTGTGGAAGCAACATTATTGATGGCAGTAGCAGTCATAGTAGCATTAATGCTCTTAGATTCTTTCTTTTGTATCATAAACTTTCCTCCCAGAAAAAAGGAGCCAAAAAGCTGCAGTTGCATTTTTTCTTTTTATCAATATAATGGAATGAACAGGCAATACCTGAATGCTTTCCTTGTGATGGGGACATACAGAATATACAGGTGCTTCATGACCTTCAAAAATATACTGCTTAGAGCCTGTAACTGCATCCCATACCTGGGAAAACCTAAACTGTAAGAATGAAATCCAACACCCACCATCCAATAAAAAGCAACACAAGGGGAAAAAAGAAAAACCTTAATGAGCCTGTCCTCCCCACAGGTGACAACGCAAAGTTGTTTGTTTGGATAAGAAAAAGCAAGATCATTAACACTGCCAGCATGAGCCTCAATCTAGATAACCAAAAGAAAATCAAAAAACTCGTCAGTATTGTTCATATATACAAGAGTTATGTGAAAATATAGAAAGCGAGCTCCAAAAATGGGGCATGTTTAGTAAAAACAGCTAAAAATAGCACCAGTCTTCAGGGTAATGAATGATAAGCACAAACCTCTAGGTGGTTACGTAGATCATCACCACCAAAATAGGAGTATATGTGCACAATGTGCTTGGAGTATGCAACACCTGAAGTAAATACATTATCCATCAGAGCTAGCACCATTCTCACTGTCAAATATCAAAAAAAATCTTTTCCTACTGTGATGTAAAATATAATTTCTAGCTTCTAAACACAAATTATATATGAAAGAAAAGTACAATATAAAAATATTCGCTTTCAATATTCAACATACCAAGTAGGGTGCCATCAGGACTCCAAATTACACGGTTAGTTGATGCAGTATAATCGTTGGTCAAAGATGCCTAACATAAAAACAGAAATCTGAGTTGGTGACTTCACAAAGCATCAAAATCATATTTATGTTCACTCAGAGTAAAAGGCAAACCTGCAGAGTCATTGAACATACTCCAAGGTCCCAGACCTTGAAATTTCTAATCACAAGCCTCTCCCGACTACCTAGCTCCCAAACCATGATCTCTCCCGTGTTTGTTCCGACTGAAATTTGTTATTGCACGTTAAAAAAGAAAGAAAATATGAATGAATATGACGGAAATTCAGTACTCAATGAACAACAAGAAGAGACGAGAACCGCCGGGTGCTAACCAAGAAGTAGAATTTGTTGGACTGGATGAAAATCCATACTCTTGACCGTTGAACCCTGATTTAGAGTCATAACAACAGCCTTGGGCAAATCATCACAAGAATATGAAGTTTGACCATGACTTTGGCTGGTGTATCCAACGGGCAGAATATTAACAGGCAAATTATTGACCTGTCCAGAAATCAAGTACATGAAAAATCAATTAATCTCAACTCGAAACATGAAAATGACTTTTAAAGCAAAGGCACAAACTAAATATTTTATACGTGGAGAGGTCAAACAAAAATACATGTGCAGATGCATGTTGCATACACAAAAACGCAAATCTCAAATACATCAATTACCGTCACATAAAAATGAATGGAGACCCAAATAGAGAGGGTTAACTCTAGAAGGATTAGATGGGAACTCATAGAAAGGAGTCTCCTGAGATATGTTCATGCTGCATCACACCAAAACCCAAAATATCTTACTCCCTCGGGTCAATGTATTATTTTCTCCTTTTTGAGTGTATAGTATTCGATGTTTACTTTTCATATCACAAATATATTACTTTGGTTGTCTTGTTAGCTGCATATCCTCCTATAATTAACTTCTACAACTGAAAACACTTGGAACGTAGTGTTGTCATATATTACCAAAAACATGAGTGTAATTGAAAGTAACTGTTCAATTAAATTCCTATATTAGCCTGCTATCTCACATTCATAGTGTCTTCATCATATACTTAAATGTTGTTGTGTCTCCTATTTAGTTGCTTCAGATTCAACCAGAAATGAGGTTACAAATTCCTAATGCTAAAACTCAATTGGGGAAATGATCCAAGTCTCCATAAACCAAACTAGAACAGAAACAAAACCTCCCATGTGTTTAAACTAAGCAAACCACATCAACTTACACTACCTGTGTTATGTTCAATGACAAGGTGCGTTCCACATCCTTCAAATCCCAAGTTAACATTGTAAATCTTCAATTTCCATATATACTTGGGGTTGTGCGACAAAAAAAAAAAAAAAAGGAAAGCAAACAAGTTCCAATACTTAAAAAGCAACCCCAAATTTCAGTAATTCCATGATTCACGGAACTAAGAGCTTCCAGGCATGAGCATCATACTCATCTCAAAACAAAATATTAGAAATTGAATAAGCCAAAGCTCAAAATACTGGTAATAGAGCTCCTAATCCTAGTAACAGAACTTAGACTGCCACCAAATCCATGGAAAATAAAGAGGATTGGTAATGTACTTCGTCTCATATTCCAAAAGTATTTCAGTAATTCCATGATTCACAGAACTAAGAGCTTCCAGGCATGAGCATCATACTCATCTCAAAACAAAATATTAGAAATTGAATAAGCCAAAGCTCAAAATACTAGTAATAGAGCTCCTAATCCTAGTAACAGAACTTAAGACTGCCACCAAATCCATGGAAAATAAAGAGGATTGGTTATGTACTTCGTCTGATATTCCAAAAGGTCTCGATCTCTTCAACACATGTTCAGAATCAGCTGTTTGATAATCCGCAGCCGGGTTGTTTGTAGGAGGAGTCCTAGGGCGCTTTAAAATAGCTGCTGAAGAAACATATAAAAAGAGGGTAAAAGGCATCAGTTATAGGAGAGGGGGGAAGGGGAGGGTGAATCTCAGGTCAATTGGGAAAAAGAGAATGAGAGAGAGTATTATATCGGAAAATCATGAAATACTTTTTCATGCATAATATATATATATATACATATATATATATATATAACCATTCAGAGATAATTTTTACCGTATTTGATGAAATCTGAAATGTATCATATCACTGGTATCCTTGTGCATCTAGATTTGTTCAAGATATGCTAGAAAACTATCAAAAACTGATCCACAAGTAGCTAGTAGAAAAGCATTTATACCATACTAAGTATACCTGCATTGTTAGGTGCAGCAAAACCAATTGGCCCAGCAGAAGCTGAGGGGTGAGGAACTGGAGATGGATTAGCCATCCATCCTGCAAGCGATGTTGGCAGAGGAGCTGCTGTTTGTTGTTGGAAAGGCTTGAAAAACAAACAACCCAAGTCACAACTTTCAAAATTAAAAGTTTAAAACAGCACCATGAATCAAAATAACTCTCTTGTAGTTTCACTTACACCATGAGCACCCAGAGGCGGAAAACCCCCTGCTTTAGGAACAGGGCCCATTAGAGGATTAGTTACAGGGGATGGGGCTCGAGCGCCATTTGGCTGTGACTGCCCACAAGTATGGTCTACAAATAGGGTTTTTATGTCAGGGTTAGGCTTCGGATTCTTGCAAAGCTGATGCTGCCAATTCAAACTGAACACAATACATAGGAATGTCAATTAAAAACATATACCTTAACTTGGAAGAAAAATCAAATCTGCAAAGCAACAAAAATGACCTCTGATTAATTAGTGTCCGCAGTCTAGAGTTCTTCAAGGTAGGAAAATTTAGCTTATCACGAAACAGGGGATTTGCTTCAATCAACTTTTTAAGTTCAGCAAGCATTATACCCCTAGCAGACTTGGTGTCTCCGTATTTAGATAGTTGCTCATTATCTCTGCAGGTTAGTGTATTTATATTAGAATTCATATAAGGTACAAACAAACTATGGTAAAAAATTCCAGTGTAGATATGGCGCCAAGAAAAACAACTCTATAAGACAAGTTCTACATGCCTAAAGTTCTCCAAGGTCAAAAGCTGTGTTATCTCTTTAAAAAGGTCTTCATTAAAAGCCGAAAACACTTTCAAGTCCTTCACTAGAACTTCGACAGCTTTAGCACGATCCTTCCTACAATTAAGGGAAGAAGTATAGGGGAATAGAAAAACATTGTCAATTCAGAATAAATTATAAAAGAATTAGAGTAACTGCAAAACCAATAAACTTCTTGTTAATATGCATTCATGTTCATCAAATTAAGGCAATTAACACTTGTCTACTTACCCAATTCACCCACCAAAAAAATACACTTACTTGTCTAAGGCTTCCAGGTACTTCTGCTTTCGAATCTCAAAGAAAATTTTCATGGAGTATCTGTTATCTTCAACCTTAGTGAATCCAGATAAATACTTTTCCACCTCATCCCAGTCCCCATTTGTCACCATTTCCTCAAAATACCTCATGTTGAAGAAAAACCCAGACTCTTGCTCCAACCTCCACCATACAAGTCAAAACAAATAAACAATCAAACTTAGCCCACTGCCACCAACTGAAGCAACATACACGTGTAGTATTACAAGGAAACCGACTTATAGAGTGTATTATGTTTATGATATTTTGGTTTCGGGAAAATGAAAAATTAAACTTATTTAATCCAAACAGCTATTTTAGGTTAGGTAAAGTTGGGGTTAAGTTTACTCGGATCAGAAATAATAAAAAATCAAAGTTATGCCTAATTTTTTCCTTTGCCTTCATTTTTTAGCAACCAAACACAACTATCAAAATAAATAAATAAATAAATAAGAAGACAAAGAATTAAGAGAATTAACCCTACCTGTGAACAGTCTCTTTAAATTTCTCTTCATCGAGAAACTGAAGTATAAGAAACACGAGCTCTCTGCTGAGAGACGACATGTTTGTCTTCAAACTGCCCCACTGCGAAAAAAAAAAAAAAAAAAGAAGATCTAAACCCTCAAAGATCGATGAAAATGGAGCAAACAATAGACTTAAAACAAATATCCCTAAATTACAAGCAAACACATCAAGTAATAGAGTTCAGTCCCAATTATTCAGCCCTCAAGAACCTCAAAAACCTAAAAATTAAATATAGGCATATACATGTGTGTGTGTGTGCGGAAATTGAGAAGAAAGTGCTCGTACCTTGATTGAATGAGAGAGAAAAGAACAGATCGGAGGGTTTGAGAAGACGAAGACAGAGAGCGGTCCTTTTACTAGTCTCTCTCTCTACAACTTTCTCTCTCTCTAGGGATTTGAAGGGAAGAGAGAGATGTGAAGCCAAGAACCAAAAGGGTTCAAGACAAAATAAATAGTGCAAACGATTACGAGATGAATGAGATATAAATGAAATAATAGAAAATAAATAGGGCAAGTGATAAGTAGTATCACGTATAAAACGAAAACTGATCTACTTATAAAGAGGTTGATAAGCAGTAGTGCTTATAGTCGTCTTAAACACGTCTAATATGTATTTATATTCGGCTGGATTTGCGGACTTTTCAGAGATAAGAAGTTACCGTATTTAGGTGAGAAATGATGCCATGAGAGCACCCTCATATAATGTTTGTGGACTGTCATCTCTCCTACCTTTGCATTGTTTCACTTGTTATCCGTTATTTTTGGGGAGTTCGCGTCAAATCTTACACCTTTAATTTTTAATATAACAATAATTACGGTATAATTCTCAATATTATAATTAGATACTAAGAATCATATTTTTCATTTCTCAATTTAGATAAAGTATTAATGGTCAAATCCTAAGAAAGAAAGAAATAAATTCAGAGTTAGTAGTGTGCGATCATCACGTAAATCACGTGGGTCATTGTCGTACCACTAAGCGAATTTAAAGCGACCAGCAAAATGAAAATAACCAATAGACTCCTATGTGTTGTTACTTTTGCAATCTTAATATGCTACTGTAATAAAATAGTTAATTGTACAAATTAATGAGCATTCTCATGCTAGCTTTACATTTATGGGTCACTGTACCATATTTTTATTGTGGTCAGTTAATAGCGGTGTTATAATGAGGTCAGTTCTAAAATGGCCAAAACACTAATTAAAAATTGGATATAAAATGAAATGATTCTGGCGTAAAACTACATAATTTTAGTCAAGGTCGATACTTTTAATGCACCGTTTCATAATTGATCATTGAATCAATAAGAAATTATAATATAATATATATAATTTTATATGGAAAGCAAAATTAGCACTCCCTTTTTCTAAACTTGCCTTTTTCTTACATATAAAATGACAAAAAAAGACTTTAAAATCATTAATACGTAGTAGTTTATTTTATGGCAATTATAACTCTTTACATGACCTTTTAACTCGTAAAATTCTTCTCTTTCTTTAAGATCGCCTAAAAAAACACACTTACACATTTATGGAATTCGTTTGAACACTTTTTGTTAGATAATTTTTTTGTGTTTTTTTTTTTTTTTTTAAGTTTTGTCAAAAGAAATCAATTATTCTACAAATTTAACTTCTTCCTTTTTCCTGACAAAAAGATTATGAATAATGATAGGCGAACTCTTATCATGTGTTAAATAATTATTTTTTATAAACTGTTTAAGTAGATGAGGTGGACAAAAACACGTCAGATACTTATTCGAGTTAATATTTCGGTCTCCTTATCATTATTCAAAGATTATTTATTCAAACAAATCACAAAAATGCTAAAATGAACTCGATTTTGATTGAATTTATGTACCCAAATATGATCCAAATTTCTACCGGATCTTTTGAAAAATATCTAGTTTTTGATCCATTTTTAAACTTAAGATTTGAAACAAAGTTTTAAACAAATGCAAAACACGTATTCGATTGGATAAGATATTATTAAGTAAACTTAACCTCCAGGTAAAAAAAAATTTAGGAAAATATTTTTCTGTTTTGGATAACTTTTTTTTTTTATATATTTTTTCATTATTTAGCAAAGATCTAGCTCGAGATTTAGGTCAAGTCCATCGAGTTGGGCATGTAAAATAACTTATCGAAAGTTAATGAGTAAGTTATTTTTGTTAAATTTTAATATATTTTGCAAATATTTTACGACAACTAAATACCAAAAAATAAAAAATATTTTACATCAAAACAAAATGAGCCCCTAAGGTGACTTTTTTTTTTTTTTTTTTTTGAAGTAAGCATTGAAAGGAATGAATCTATCATTTATTGCATTCATATGGTATATTTTATCAAAAGATGTCAAAACAATATTAAAGAGCATTTAGGCCAGTTTGGCTAATACTTTTACTTGTGTTTTTTGTTTTTGCTAACTTCAAAAATTGAGACCAAAATCAGAAGTATCAAAATAATGTTTTTGTTTGCTTCCGCATTGTAACAAAGCATTATTCAAAAAATTGTTATTATTATTTTTTTCTAAATTAACATTTTTAACTAATCATTTAAAATTTTAAACTTGCAACATTTTTTATCAAACATGCTTTCGTGTTTTTGCTTTCAACAATCCTGCAACAAATTTACGTTACCAAACAAGATTCGAAATAGTGTTAAACACACTCTAAAACGGAAACACTGCTTTTGCTTCGGATCTAAGCAAAAGCACAAAGCAACTGTTCATCATATTTATAATATAAAAATATGCTACTAGTTTAATGAAATAAATAAATGTAATGATATTTGCACCATACTTTTTTCACTTCCTCTCCAATATCAAAAAGAATAAATCTTCTTTGGAGAGTTATTTTTTATTTTAAAATAATAATAATAATAATAATTTAGTACTAGATGAAATTTGAAGATACATCATTTGAATTTAGGAGATGTTAAATATGAAATATGTGAATGAAAGCATAAATTCTATTAAGGAAAATTTACAAAACTCAATCTTACTTGAATATATATATATATATATATATATATTATTCCCTCATCTCAAAATAGTTGAGCAAAGGGTGACTCACAGCTAATTTGGAAAGAACTACTCAAACTGTTAAGCACTTCAGTTTGAAGGTCAAATTTGACATTTCATGTTATTTAATCCGATTACGATGGGAATGGTGGTCCTTTTTGGTACACACCTTCGTTTCCTTAATTGTTGATTGCGGCCGTACTGCGCGTGACTGACGCGCCAAAAGGATAAGGAAGAGCTGTCGATTGAAACGGATGGTGACAACTGCTGAACTCCAAATTTGGAGTCATTTCCAAGTGACTTATAAAACGTGTCTCCATATAATTGGGCCACTTCTAATATAGCAACGAGAGGAGTGTGTTGCTCACGCGCTTAGGCGGTGCTTTCTACACCATAAATGCATGCATGGTAGAGCAAAATTGCAATCGTCGGCCAAATGAATACACCTGTCACCACTCACCTGCCAGCCACTCTTTTTATTATCTTTTTTTTTATTTATTATTATTTTATGTTTTTTAAAATAGCTTTTCAAATTAAAGAGGTATCATCAACAAACTTTATAAAAGTAAAAAATATGAACACCATTCCATCATTCGTAAAAGGGGTGTGGATTCGTTACCACTTACCAACGCGTTATAGATTTTTATAAAGTCATGTACTTTATTGTATATCTATATAAAGGTTAAGATTGTGATAAAAAAAAATAAAAAAAATAAGAAAGAAAATTACATATATATAACACTTTATATTATCCATTTTTGAGCAAATTGTCCCATAATTATTAATTTTGACTATTTTTTTTTTTAAAATCTCAAAATACCCTTTGCATATAAACAATTATTTTATTTTATATTTTCTCTATCATTCCTCTATCCTTAAAATTGTCTCTGTACATGGGTGCTAAGATATGCCCGCGGCCAATGAATGGACTCAACTGCAAACACATTCACTATTTTTTGGACATTAAATTGAAAATATGATTTAATTAGACGATTTTTTTTTGGGTGGGTGGATTGGGGGGGGGGGGGGGGGGTGTTATAGGAAATTTTTTTCCCTTCACGAAGGGATAGAGATTCAACTATATTATGGATTGGCATAGGATGAACCTCTAAGCTGTTAGTCATCCAAATATAAAATGTGTTTCGGTGATAAATCATCATCATATTCTCTTTTTTGTTGCTGATTATATGTCAAATTGGTTTTATGAGGCTGTGCTTGTTAAAAGAATCATGGTGGTAATTTAGAGTTCAAAATATTTATTTTCTTTTTAAAATTGGAAGTGGCAGATCCTAAAGTGCGGATTGAACATCCTCGGCAATGCCGGCGATAGAGTGACAAGGCCGGTGACAGAGTGAAGCGACGGCAGAACTTCGTGGTTGTGAGGATTTTGGTGGCGACAAGACTACTGGCTACTCAAGGATGAACAGACTGAACTTATTGGCAATAGACGACAGTGGCGATAAGCAGACAGAACGACAGTGAATCAATAGTGAAGTATAGCGATAAGGATTGCACTGTTGAAAAATATAAATATTAAAGTTGCACATTCTCCAATAACTTAAGCTTTTGGAGTAGACGGTTGTTCACATAATATCAGAGCTAAATGTCTCAAGTTCAAACCTTATCGTCACTCTAATTAAAAAATAATAATAGAAAGAAAAAACCGTGTTGAAACAATAAATAAAGCCACCTTTTAACATGCATTTCCGACGATGACAATAAACGAGAAAACACACCGACCAACAATGATGAATCAGCAATGCAAGGATATGCGAACGGCATGAAGCGGATCGACGAGCTTGAATCGGCGCGATGGCGACGAGATTCATTTCTGTTAATTTAAATCGATTTTTTATTTTTATTTTAATTTCTTTTGTGGGGTATTTTAGACATTTCAACTACTAAATTAAGACAATGTCCTTATAACATCTCCAGCGGTGTATCTGCCAATAACAATCAACTACGTGTTCCTACATAACTTATACAAACCTATTTAATATAGGGTATCCCAAAAAATGAATGGTGCTATAATCGCACAATGGGTCCATACCATGTTGTCTGCAGGTACACAGACAGAGCTAAATACTACACAAAAGGTTGACCTTTAGGACTCTAATGTCAAAATGGATTACGGATTTCAGAGCTTTACAAGCCAAGGCACTTTCGTTAATGGAATGAAAAAAAGAGGGGAAAAAGGAAATATACTGATTTCGTTGTGTAAAAAAATTGTATAAAATTAGGACTGCAACTTGAGCGAGCTAACCTAGCCCAACCCAAGCTCAACCCGAAATTTTGAAATTTGGACTTTAAATTCACAAATTGGACTCATGTTCGAGTTGGGTTTGGTCAAAACCAAGACATATTCAGGTTGGGCTCGGGCTTGGGCTTAACCCGAAACTCAAAATAAAAAAATAAAAAATATATTTTTTTTCT